TGAATTTTAAGAGTTCTTTATATATTCTGGACTGTTATACCTATCAGCAGTATATTTAACAAATACCTTCTCACAGCTATGTACAGTAGTGCATGCCTGTAATCCAACACTCTGGGAGGCTGAGGCAGGATGATCACAAATCTGAGCCCATACTAGGTAACTCAGAGACTTGGCAAGAACCTGTCTAAATTTATCCTCCTAATTTATGGCTTTTAGTTTTCTTTATGGAATGTTTTGATAGAAAAGAGTTTTCTATTTTAGTATACTTGAATTTATCAATTATTTCCTTTATGATGTTTGTGTTTCATTTAGTAAATCTTTCCTTTTCCCAAGGCTGTCTATATTTCCTTCTAAAGTTATTTTTTATTATATTCTTGAAAAATGAAGAGTAGATGTTATGTGCTCTTACCACAAAGATGATAACTATGTGAAGTAATGTATTTGTTAATTAGCTAGATTCGAACTCCCACAGCGTACCCATACTTAAACGTTTATATTATGCATGATGAGCTCATACAGTGTTATCTGTCAACTTAAAAAACAAAAGAAAGTTAAATTTACCCCTTTCAGAGTTACTCTTAAATTCATGTGGAGCAGATCTTTGTGCAAGATGTAAGTTAGATATCTAATTTTCTTTTTCCCCCAAATTGATAACTGTGATAGGTTTTTATCCTTTTTGGAAAAGAACAAGGTAACCTGCTAGTCTGATGGATGCTGGGAGAAGATGTGAGACTCCCGAGTCAGAGACAAAGGATTTTATTACTCCTGGCAGACCAGGCAGCATGTTGGTGCTCATTCCCCTTAACCCAGTTCCTAGAGGGCTACAAGAGGGTGGGGTGATGTCCACGCTGCAGGGGGTACAGGAAAGGAAACTTCAGTCTTTTTTTTTTTTTTTTGCCTTTTTGAGACAGGGTTTCACTATGCAGTTCAGGCTGGTCTTGAACTCACTTTGTAGCCCAGGCAGGCCTCGAACTCACAGTGATCCTCCTGCCTCAGCCTCCCGAGTGCTGGGATTATGGGGGTGCACCACCATGCCTCACACTTGAGTCTTTTATAATGGGCTAGCTTGATGAACTCTGCTTTAGAGGGAGTTATTATTACTAAACAGAAAACAAACTCATTCTTTGCTCTGCATGGAAATTCTGTCAGAACATTTCCAGTATGAGCTAAATGGATAGTCTTGAAGAGGTAGCCTGAAATAAAGACAGTCTGTCTCTGGTTAAAAGATGTGCAGAAACACAAGAGATGTGCATAGAATTGTCTCCCAATAATGACCAAGGGTTCTAGCCCCACGTATTGTCTAGTGGACCCTTTTCCTGACCTGTCCTGCTCTTTCTTCCTCTGTCAGTTTTCCAAAAATATCAGGGTTTCTATTCTGTTTCATTTTTTTGTTTGTTTTTTTGTCTGTTTTTTTTTTTTTTTTTTTTTAGACAGGGGCTTGATATATGCAGTTCAGGCTGGCCTTGAACTCACTTTGTAGCCCAGGCTGGTCTTGAACTCACAACGACCCTCCTGCCTCAGCCTCCCGAGTGCTGGGGTTACAGGCGTGTGCCACCATGCCTGGCTCTGTTTCATTTGTATATTTGTCTGTTTTAATTATTATAATTCTTTCCCCAGGGCTGGGGTTCAAGCCCAGGGTCTTACACATCTAGGCAAATGCTACATCTTCAGCCTTTAAGTTTTATCAAGTACACAATTCAGCTGTGGCAGACTCCTAATCACTGTGGTTTTACTTTATTAAGTGCCGCCTTTTCCTGAAGGCCGTCCTATTTCTCTCTCACATCACCCTGTATTAATTCTCTCTAGGGCACTGACTTTTAGCTGACATTTGCCTGTTTATTGTCTGAATTCCCTGGCTAGAACATAAACTGACTGAGAGCTGGGACCTTGCTCAACTGGTGCACCTGATCTCCTCATAGCTTAAAAAGAAGAGACTCCGTATGAGTTGAATGATTAGAACTAGGTACCAACTGTTTATTCCCTTTAGCTAGGATTTAAGGTCTTCACTGCTCCTTAGTTCCCAGTACTTCCTATTATCTCCCCAGCCCAGCTTGCTTTAATTATTTTATCTACCTGGCCCCGCTATGCATTTGAATTTTTAATCCTGGCTTATTAATGTTGTTGTAATTATCATCCGCATTTTAAAGGAAGAGACTTTTTATGTTTTCTTTTCTTCCTTCAATATCATTCACATAGTAGGAAGGAAAGGAAGTAACATTGAGTATTTCTCACCTGTCCAGCACAATACTGTAGTTTGTGTCCTCACAACAGTGCTAGGAGGCTGGATGTTATTATTTATATCAATGTTACAGGTGAGGACCCTGAGGCTTGGTTGTTCAGGGTCATATTCTACATGAAGCATCTGGGTTTGAGACCCACCTGGAAAACATTTACTCAGCACGAAGTATTGCAAAAAGGTTACTCATGTCTGACCAACACGTAGCTCTTTCCAATCTGCAGGATGGAGATTGAGCAGTTGGATATTGAAGGTCATGCTTCACTTAAGCAGTCTAGCTATTTTGTTTTCAGTTTCATCCCATGGAATGTGTGAAGGCTGGCTGGAGGTATGTTTACAGTTAGCTAGAAGACGCTTTGAGGGGCTCGAGCGTGGCCCCTACCCGAGGGTCCTGCATAGCTACTACATGTCTGCTGTTGGCAACTATTATGGAAAGCAGCAGCAAGTTTTCCTGAAGAGAGTTGCTTCAATCAGACCATCAGCTCACCTAGGTCACTGGGCCAATGCAGAAACTAAATACACCAAATGCGTACCACACCACCAAGCATTCTTTTAAAGTAACAAAATCTTATTTTTATTTTTATTTTTTTTTTACAGAAATTCAGATATTCCAACAAATTTCTTTACATTTCCTGGACCTTAAAAAAATTACACACAACTTTTGGACGGAATACAACGGAACAGAATGAGAAAGGGAGTCACTTTTCTTTTTTTTTGTTTTAAAAAGATAAAAACATACTTCTTGTACTTCATTAACATTTAGTGATTTACACGTGGATTGTCTATGTACAAATGGCACATCATGGATGACTCATCTTAGAGCACTGTGGTATGCTAAATGATACTTAGGCTTACAGTGAAAACTTCTTAAAAATGATTGCACATGGATAGGAAGTACTTTTTGCGTTTTTGCTACCACCATCATTTGCGATGTAGAACTCCTAATGGAATCTGAAGTTGACAGACTGGAGAAAGCTGACACTTTTTGTTTCTATTTTAGAGAGATAAATGAATGAATTCTTGAAAAGTTGTGTGTAATTAAATTTAGCAAGTAGGGTGTTTTGAAAGCAATAGGACAGCTAATACTTAAAGCAATAGATAATCCCCAGAATGACTAACACTGTAGCTACAGCTTCTAAGTATCCCCCTAATTTAGTTCTTTCAAAGAGCCATATCTTTGTAAATTTAGACTTACTTGCTTGAGCCAGCTGTAATATACCTTCAGTCTTTGATGCATTACCCCATTTATGGTGAAAACATGGCCAGTTCCAGAAACAACCGGCTGAACCAGGAATGTGTGTCCCAAAGAGAAAGGGTAAGAGGGGTCAAGCCTGCTCTGCCTGTGTTATCGTCAGCCTGATGGTCTAGTGATATATGCTAATTTGATTTTAATTCTGAGCCAAAATGAAGGCATTTTGAACATTCATGTTTCTGCCACTATAAATCTTTTTTTTGCGGGGTGGGTGGGTACCAGGAGTAGAACTCACAACCTCACACTTGCCAGGCAGGCGCTGTGCCACTGAGCTATATCCCTGGCGAAGTTTCTGGATCAAGTATAGAACATGGGTTAGCTTCCGCTGATTATTCCTGTATGTACATTTTAGCTTGTGTCCACTCTCAGGCGATTGATTATTTCAATATTAACTATTTGTCTGTTGCAGGATATTGATAAGATAGGCAATGAAGGAGATGGTGGGGGAACCCTGGGAATAAAATGTTGTTATAGACAACTCATTAGTTGTAACTACTTCCAAATGCCAGCTAACTAAAAAGAAAAAAAATAGGAGAATTTTGAAACCAACATTAGTAAACAAAAATTTAACTTACCCCTACCAAGTTACTTTGACTTGTATAAGTATATACTCATTTATTTCTAAGGCTATTAAATTTTTATTTATTTATTTTTTTTAGTACCACTTACTATCACTTAGAAATAGTGTTAATGGAATAATTAAAAAAATAAAAGTGAATGCCTGTCAGTCAGAGAAATAAAGGATATGGATTTCTGATGATATGGATGGCAAAGAAATAGAAAAAAATTAGATATTTTAGATATCTATAAAGTATATTCAATTCCTACGCATATACTAGGGAGAATTAGAAAAAAGTGTTTGTTAGCAGCCTATATATTACACGTGAGCATCCAAGGGAAAAACGAGCTTTCTATATTTTTCAGAGTTCCTTGATGCTGTTTCCTGAAAGACAGGGAAATCTATGTTGCGTGGGAACCTAGGATGTCGAGACGTACTTCCTGGAATACACAGCTCGATGGCGTAAGAGTATATGTCAGAAACACTTTCGCAGTAGCAACTTGTACAGACAGGTTCAACTGAACACAGACTTGGTACAAAGTTTGAAGTGTTGCTTCTCTTCACAACTGAGTGGTTGTAATTAATTACACAGTGAAATAAATGAACAGTAGAGACGGAGAACCAAAGATCAGAGGCATTTTCTAAGCTGCTTCCTCAATAAATGACACTTGATCAACTTCTTGCTTACTGAGATAGGAATAACCTAACTGCCCTTTTTTTAAATAATAGTATTGAAAGATTAAAGCTTTTTGTTTTTGGTTTGATTAAAAAAGGACAGCTTACAAACCTCAGTACATATGTATTTTACATTTTACAGGTTAATTCTAGCACATTTATATTCCTCTTCCTTAAGATGTTTCCTGAATATGATTTTTCATTGAATATTATCTGATCTTTTTCGATGACAGTTTCCAGTGAGCTGGTGTTTAATCTGTGATCACCTCTCTTTCCAGAAAATCACCCCATCTCTGCAGATCTACGTTTAGAAGGTGCTTTGACGAGTGGATGCTTCACCGTTGTCCGTATTCATCCCCGGACTCTGATCTCTCCCAAGTGTTTTCCTTCTTGATGTTGATGTACAAAAGCTGTTATTCGATTTGTCTAGCTTTTATTTGATTTGTTTTGTGCTCATTCTAGAGAGTATTGGCTTAGCAGAACTGTAAAAAAGGGAGGGAAGAGAGAGAGAAAAAGGATTAGAGGAACAGAAAAAGATACATCATTTTCTGTCAGCAAGACTGTGCACAATATTTGTCATGAGAAAAGAAAACAAGCCTATGCCAACACATGGTTCAAATGCACTGAGATTTATCACCAAAGAAGACTGAGAAGTTGGAGAATTGTTTCATTGAACACACAGCACAGTCTTTCCAAAAAGTGATCGTGTGTGTGTGTGTGTGTGTGTGTGTGTGTGTGTGTGTCTTTTTGAGACAGGGTCTTGCTATGCAGTTCAGGCTGGCCTTGAGCTCACTTTGTAGCCCAGGCTGGTCTTGAACTCACAAAGATCCTCCTGCCTCAGCCTCCCGAGTGCTGGGGTTACAGGCGCATGCCACCACTCCTGGCACAATCTTAAAAACCCAAACATTCCCTCTGCCTGGACCAAGACTGCAGACTGCTTTGAAGGAGCGTGGGTCTATGCCCAGTCTACCCTGAATGCCCCCATCTCGTTTCCAGGAGCAAGGAAGAATGCAGAGCGACCCCAGGCGTTGTGATCCTGCCTCGCATAGAAAACCAGCATTTTCTTTTGCTTTTCAAGTTTGTTTCACACCTGATGTGATAATAGCTAAGGAAGAAATGCTTACAAGGACCAGTCACTCTCAAATGCAATCACCCTGACATACCAACGGTTTTCTGCTGTGTTTCCTTCTATTCCTTATGTAAATACATACTTACTTTATACAGTTGGAGTCATATAAATGAGGTTTTTAATATTACATCATTCAATTAAAAATTTTATACATTTCCAGTAAGATATCCCATATAAATTTCCAACAGCCATATTAACATTCCATTTTATTCACATACGTCTCCCACCCGTGCTCAATACTCCACTCTCTATTTCACTATTGTCAGATATATGGGCGGTTTTCATTTCCTTCTTATTACAGATGACGGGCATCTTTGTGTGTAAAGATCTACTTGATATTTTTTGTTTGTTTGTTTAGGGAAAGGGTCTTGCTATGTATCTCAGGCTGGCCTTGAACTCACTATGTAGCGCAGGGTAGCCTTAAACTCATGGTGATCCTCCTGCCTCAGCTTCCCAAATGCTGGGATCACAGATGTGTACCACCATGCCCAGCGACCTATTTGGTCTCTTGCTTTTTTTTTCTTTTTTTTGTCCTCAGGAGATGGCTGCTTTCCCTTTTCTCCAGTAGACTAGGGACTACGCCTGTTATGAACAAAACTAGAGTATAAGTGGAGTCTGATCAGCCTCATCCTTTGGATGATTTTCATAGACGTTAGCACCACGAACCCAGGCTTCAGGGTGCCTGTGAAGATGAATAAATGCACCTGCCTGGCCGCTGCGGCAGATGTGGGCTGAAGGGAAACAGGCACCATGGAGGGTTTTGAACTACAAGGGCGGGTGACGGCCCCTGAGTGTGTGCTAGAGCGACCTGAAGGCTTCTGTGGTCGTTTTCATCACACTTTAGAAACCCGCCGCATGTTATGATCTTAATGAACTTCTCTCAGCAAGAGGACTCCGTTACTTTAATGTACCCGCCACACAAGGGGTAATTAAGGAAGACGTGTTATAGTGATGACGAGTCTCTAATGGTCCAGTAAGCCTGAACCATCTGGCAGGAGCACTATGGAAGGGGCTGCTTTCTTCTGACAGTGGTTTTTTTGGGTCTCTTTGAGGCAGGGTCTTGCTATGCAGTTCAGGCTGGCCTTGAGCTCACTCTGTAGCCCAGGCTGATCTCGAACTTGCAAAAATCCTCCTGCCTCAACCTCTGGAGTGCTAGGATTACAGGCGTGTGCCACCATGCCCGGCTTCTTCTGACTGTGTTAAAGCAGCAGGAGCAACCTCTGAAGCTTTGCACTGTGCTCCTGGTGGCTCCGAACCTTGAGAGGCGCTCCTGCCTGGTGGGATTCAAAGTCAGGCTTGGAGCTTCGTGATGCCACTCTAGCATGATTCTGCATCTCTGAGTATTTTCTATTGTAAGTCTACACGAGGGGATGTCTGGGTTCTCCGGTAAGATGGGGAAGGCATTTCGAATGGGGAAAGAGGACTGTGTGTGGCAGGGGGTGTAAACATTTGGGAGACAGTTGGGGGCTGGGTGTTGCAAAGTCGCTAGGCACGCGGGGGAGAGGGGTGATGTGGACATGCTCAGGGCTACGCCTGTGTGTGTGATGAAGGGGGAGAGGCGGGCAAGGAGGTCCTTCCCGTCTTCTTGAGATTCTTAAACACCCTCCCAATTTCACGATGGAAAAGTCTTCTGATGTGACTAATTTATTGGCATCCATGAACCAGAGACTCCCTGTTTTTCTTTCCCCAGCTCTAAGCTGCCCGGATTGGCTTCCTGACATCACAGGATGAAGGAAAACTAGGAGATCGCAGGAAGGAAGTACTTGTGTCCAGTGCTGCATCCCAGGCTGCGTGGGACCCGTTCTCAGTGAGCTGGGCTGGGCGTGATGGGCGTTGCGAGGGTTTCAAATCAGCTCCCCCGCAATCACATCCATAACTGCGTTCGTCCTGCAGGGTGGACGGCTCCCTAGGAAGACCCTGAGTCCCTCCTAGAAAGGGAACGCTGTGGCCATCACACAAGCAGCATCCTCCCCCTCCACCACATGTGCCCACGGCCCTGGCCTGACCAGACCAGGACAAATGATCATAAGCAGCCCTTCTTGGGTCTGCTGTAGTCTTGGGTCACCTGTGGCCTCCATCTGGCCTGACCTCTCCTTGGACCTCTCACTGTAATCTCACCGTTCGTCAGTCACTCCGCTCTTTTGGAGGCTCCCTGCGTTGTCTGTTATCAACACAGGACTACACACCCCACCACAGCATCGATGGTGGGCAGATAGGTGAGGAGCAAACAGAAAAAATGGCAGCGCAAACCCAGAGAACTTGGCCTCAGGAATGAAGGAAGCGAGCGAGGTGCCTGGGGTTCAAACTTGGAGGCTCGTGCACAGGGCCACGAGGGCGCGGGGCCAGTGCCTCCTTAAATTTTCCACAGTAAGCGCTGAGTTTGCCTGGTCCTGGTACTGGTTCTGCCCAGAGCGCAGGGTGCTTGTCATGAGGCTTGCATGGAATGTTTGCTCAAGTTTAAGTTACTTAGACCCCGCTACCACCAGACAGTTTTTCTTCCTAGTATATGACACCAACGTGCAACAAGAAGCCCAGGGCATGTGAGAGTTCTGCAGACTGCAAGGCCAAAAATAAGCAGGATATTGGTTCCAGCGGTGCTCAGAGCACAAACCCTCCGCACGTAATATCAAGAAGACACTTTTCTGGAGGAGTAAATTAGGACGCCATTACCATTACTTAGATAGCATGCCCTGCGGAGTTTCCCACCCAAAGGTTTGGGAGAGGCCAGCTGTTCAAACAGACCTGTGGAGACCAGTGGAAGAGAATAAAAGGCAGGATTTTCCTCCCCTGATGTGGTCATTATTCCGTTTGTCTTGAGGCCGTGGAGCATCGGGATAGTCTGCAGAATTTGGTGGAAGCCACACCGTAGAAGGTGGAGGCCACACCGTAATCACTGTCTTGTACAACACTCTGCTGTTTTCAAAACTTCTGCTAACATTTTCCATGCGCCGTGGATATTGCCTATCAGGGGATGCAACTGAAAAGATGTCACATTCGCCCAGGCCTGCCCTGAGCAGGACTGAATAAGTAAGTCACTCAGCGCCGCTTTGGAGCTCTGTGCGGTCAGGTTTGACCTTGTAACGTGTCATGGGCTCCGACTTGCCCATGTTCCATTTCCAAGGGGCTCCGTGCAAAGCCTTTCCGAAGCTGTCATTTGAACCACTGCTCATCAGAGCAGTATTTATAATGGCTGCTTTGTCCAGGCTAGCTAAATGCTACTCTGCTGAATTTTCTATGTGTTTACTGGTGTTGAAAGGTCCCCTGTGCTTGGTTTCTGCCGATTGTTCCTGCGTGGCCTATGCAGTGAGGGTCTGGAGCCCCCTGGGTTAGGACAGCTGGGGGTGGGGTGAGGACAGGCACTGAGAAAGGAAGGAGCTTGGCGTTCTGGCAGAATGGCTGGGGAATCTGTGCTGTGCAAATGAGTAAGGGAGCAATTCCAGGGCACTTTTCTCATTGGCTAAATGAGCTTTGTCAGTTTCTCCCACTCTGCTGTTTCCAATTGGTCCCGTCTCCACAGGGACTTCCGCCGCCCTTCCTAGGAGGCCCAGTGCAGTCTGGAAGGAAAGAATAGCTCACCATCGGTGTCCTCCGCTGCTGAGACCTGACAGGCCCGTGGTGGCGTGGCAAAGACGGCTGCAGATGCTCTCACTGCTCCTGTGAGAGATGGGCTAAGGGTTTTTTCCCTGGAATCTGGGCTTTAACAGTCCTCAGGTTCATTTTGTGTGTGTGGTAAAAAGCATAAAACTTTCTGCATTAAGCTTCTTCTCCTTTCTTTTTACCCCTTTTTTGAGGAGGGTACTGGGGATTGAACCCAGAGCCTTGCACTAAGCTATATCCCCAGCCTTTGTAAAATTTCTTTTCTCTTTCTCTCCTTTCTTTTTCTTCTTTCTTTCTTTCTTTCTTTCTCTCTCTCTCTGTTTTTTAGAGGAGGAAAGGTTTATTTAGCTCACAGTTTGTAGAGGTTTCAGTCCATTATCAGCTGGCTCTGAGGCAGAGTGGCACGTGGCAAAGGGGCAACAGTTCAAGCAGCAAGAGCAAAAGGCCTCTTTTTAAATTTCTTGAGACAAGGTCTTGCTAACTTGACCCTACCTTCTGGGACTTGGGATTCTCCTGCCTCAGCCTTCAGAGCAGCTGGGATTACGGGTGTATGCCACTATGCCTGGCTCCCGTGGTAGTTCTTTGAGGAACCTCCATGCTGTGGTCTGTGGTGGTCACATCACTTTGCAATCCCACCGACGGTGCACAGCGGCCCCAGCTTCTCCTCACTGTGCCAGCTCTTGGGCTTCGTTGTGCTTCCTTAGCAGTGGCCGTCCTAATGGGTGCAGGGCAATAGCTCCTTGTGGTTCACCTTGGATTCCTCTGATGATCAGTGACGTCAGGGTTCTTTCGAGTACCAGTGATAGCTGAATCCCTCGCTGGGGTGACAATGTGGAGAGGCCTTGGTGCTATGTGGAGCCAAAAAGTGGTCCAACGGAGTGCATCTTCCCCTAGTGCCTCGCTAAACATGTAGACTTTGACCCAGTGGGGCTTGCAACAGTCCTCCTGCCTCAGCCTCCAGAGTGCTGGCATTACAGGCATGCGCTGCCATGCCTGGCACTTTCTTTGTGTCTCTTCCTGCCTTTCTTAATGTCTCTTTTTTCCCCCTCTGTTTCTTCCTGATTCCTTTTAGATCTGGGACACTGATTTCAACAAATCGGGCATGGAGGACAGGTGCTAAAACTGTTTGGATTACTTACGCAGATCTTCTGTGCTGGGCAGGGGCATAAAATGGCCTGAGAGGCAGGCCCTGATCCTTTCATGTTATTTTTATATGTTATAGACTTAAACTCATTTATGTAGCCCAGACTGGTCTCAAACTCACAGTGATCCTCCTGCCTCAGCCTCCAGAGTGCTGGGATTACAGGACAATCAGACTTTAACATCAGGCACAACACTTCCTGACCTTTTCTCAGAAAGTAATTCATGAGAAGGAATTGTGATTGTTTATTCATGAGTATCTCTTCCTATTTTTCTTCCTCTTATCCCCATTAATGAATACTGAGGAGTGGATCAAAAGCAAGAAAACAGACGCAGGATATTGAGAATGGGATGTGCTCCTGGTTTACGAGTCCTGATAATGTTCACTTTGCTGTGTAGACTTGAAACATCGAAACCATTCCATCTTCCATTGAAACCATTCCAGATCAAAAATCTCTCACTAGTAAAGCCCGAAAGGTAGATAGGTCCATAGCAGGGTGGACCTAGTATGCTACTGGTATCACCTAATTAATGCGGCAATCTTAATATGCCATTTCCACTTCAGTATCTCCTAGCGTGCTCTTACATTTTTTATAATTAATTTGCCTTTCCATTTTGTGAACAAAACCATGCACTAAAACTTTACCCTGTGGTCAGGACAATCCATTAAAAATACAACTAAATGCAAAACTCATTTGGGTATCACTACACACAAAACCCACATATGAATTGGTTCCTGTGTATTAAATCCATCTCTGACTCTTGCCATTGACTATGCAGCTTCTCAGGCCTTCCTCTAAGCATCAGCTTCTGGGACGGTTAAGACTGTCAACTTGATCGGTTTGAGAGCCACCTAGTGGGTTAGTGAAGCACACTTCTGTGTGTCTGGGTGGGTCATGGAGAGGCGACCTTGAGGGACTGCATGGGTCTGGGCCATGACCCTGCCCTGCTTCTTGGCTGCCACGAACTGAACATCTTTACCACAGCCTTCCACCATGATGTTTCTCCCTTGGAGCCAGCTGACCATGGACTGGACCCTCTGAAGCCACATGCCAGTGAAGTTGTGGGTGTTGGGCATTGTGTCCCAGCAACAGAAAAGCTGACTCATACAAGCACTTATAGGTCTGTCTCTTTGGGCATGTTACCTGGCCTAGTATTCCCATGTGTAAAATGGGGAGAAGCCCAGCCTCCCACATAGAGCTATTGTTAGCATTAAATAAGTCACGTACAGAGCAAGACTATGATATACCAACTACTTCTGTCATTAGTATGAGTATCATTGTTTAGAGATGAATTTTTACCTTGATGTTATAAGGACAAATAAAAATAAGAGGCTTTATTCTCCTTGTTGAAAATAAGGGAAGAAAGCCGGGTGTGTTGGCACATGCCTGTAATCCCAGCACTCAGGAAGCTGAGGCAGGAGGATCATTGTGAGTTTGAGACCAGCCTGGGCTACAAAGTGAGCTCAAGGCCAGCCTGAACTGCATAGGGAGACCCTGTCTCAAAACAAAAAACAAAAAACAAAAAACAAAAAAGAAAATAAGGGAAGAGACTTCTCCTTCCTTCCCTGTCTTATAACATTTCCTTTAGAAAACTTGTAAATTGTTTCTCTGGCTCTTTGAAATATGTGTGAATTTCTGTTTTTGCAGTATTAGGGATTGAACCCAGGGACTCAGGCATGCTAAGAGGTGCTCCACCACTAGGCTCATCTGCAGCTGTTTTTTTTTTTTTTTTTCAACTTCAGTACTGAGGATTGAACCGAGCTGTATCCTTAGCTCTTTTTCTTTTAACACAGGGTCTGGGTTTAAACTTGTGATCTTCCTGGCTCAGCCTCTCAGAGTGCTGGGAATGCAGGTGGGTACTATGCTTGTTGTTTTAAAAACATTTTGTCCAATTCTTAATTTTTATTAGTATTTATTTGCAGTACATAATGATTACATTCCTTGTGGGAGGTTGTTATACCAAGCTTTTAAAGCAAAAAAAAAAAATTAATTAATTAATGATCCTGGGGATTGAACCTTTACAGTGACCTACCTCCCCAGGCTTTTTTAAAAATTTTTTTGAGGCAGGGTCTCACTGAGTCATTAAATTCCATAGGCTTGGTTTGGATATTTGATCCTCCGGCCTCAGCCTTTGGAGTTGCTGGATGATGGGTGTGCACCACTCTATAGACTGTGTAGCCATTTGAGAAACTCTAACTGGGCACACACCTATAATCCCATCACTCGGGAGGCTGAGGCAGGAGGATCATTGCAAGTTCGAGATCAGCCTGGGCTACAAAGTGAACTCAAGGCCAGCCTGAACTGCATAGTGAGACCCTGTCTCAAAAAGACCAAAAAAAAAAAGAAAAAAAGAAAAGACACCAAATAAGGCTCTTAGGAGCTTTTTGACCCAGGGACATTTTTTTTTTTTTGGTCTTTTTTGAGACAGGGTCTCACTATGCAGTTCAGGCTGGCCTTGAGCTCACTTTCTAGCCCAGGCTGGTCTCGAATTCATGGCAGTCCTCCTGCCTCAGCCTCCTGAGTGCGGGATTACAGGCATGCACCACCACGCCTGGCCTTCCCAGGGACATGTGGAAATATATGGGAGCCATCTCTTTGAAATGTAAACGTCAAGGGAGATAATATCCCTGTTTTCCACTTGGAAATGTTCTCAATTTTTTCTATATCCCACTGGCATCTTGCTTCCAGTTACAAAACTACCTTATGTCCCAGACAGGAGGAGTTTATTGTTATTTTTTTCTATGTAGAAAGCCCATTAACTGACACAGATGGTCACCCCAATGACCCGAGGAATTAAGGTGCAGGGAATGGTGCACACACCTCCAGGAAGGACTGGCTATTGCTCATCCTGGGAATTTGTATCTGATAGGTTGAGCTGCTTTGACTATAGACAAGGGTGAGATTCCTGTGTGTCCGCAATCTCTTAGCAGATTGCCTGGAATGCATATCATATTCTGGCTTAACTTTTACTCAAAAACAAACCTGTTTTCTTTGTCTACTACATTTATAGCAAGTTTATCTGTTTAATTATGTTACCTGGACAATGTATATTGACATTTCTGTATTTGTGCATCAAATTGCTTTACTGCATGCCTATCCTCTTTTAGCATAGAAGTTACAATAAGAAAGGGACTATTTCTGGAAATTTCTCAGAGTGCCTGGAGTCAGTGTTACCTATAAAAATCCAAATGGTATTTCCTTTTCTTTTTTCTAATATGTGCCAAGCTTATGGTAATAAGCTCTTTTCCTTGCTCCGGGAAACAGACCTGTGTCCTTCAGGCAGAAATTTCAGGATCATGAGGCTTTATGTGTCTTTATTACCACAAATTTAACAGCTCTGGTCCTAATTACCCATGTGATGGTATTGTCATGAAATAAGACATTCAGATATGATGAGCGCCTTGATTGTAGCCCAAGGGGAAGTGGACTTCGGGATCTAGTGGCGATTTATAATCAAGATCTAGTGACACCCCCCCAGACATAACCGAGGATGAAGGCGTTTGATAGCTGTGGCATCCGTCACTGACCCGCTGACACTGGTTAGCCACAAACCGTGTAGCAGGAATGGAGAGGCAGAGACAGGCTAATTGCTGTGTTAGGGCTTTCTAAAATGTCAATATGAACGGATTGTTCTTCAGCTTGAAACTCTGTAGAAATGACACAGCGCGACCGAATCCATCCTGCGTGGCCTTGTCCATGCTGGGGGCCAGCCTGTCTTCTCGCGTCCTGCCTCAGCCTGGGCTCAGCCTCCTGGACCGCATCCCACCCCGCTGCCCTGTGCCTGCTGCCAAGGCCCTTTCTCTCTCTGGCTTTCTTTTTTTTTTTTTCTCCGGTACCGGGAACTGAACTCATGAACTTGCGCTTGCCAGGCAGGCGCTTTTTGCCGCTGAGCTAAATCCCCAGCCCCTCTCTCTGGCT